ATGATGATGATGACGATGCTGCTGCGGATGATGATGATGATGATGATGATGATGATGATGATGATGATGATGATGATGATGATGATGATGATGATAGTGATGATGATGATGATGATGATGATGATGATGATGATGATGATGATGATCGCTGAGGCTGCTTATGCTGGAGATGATGCTGCTGATGACGATGGTGACGACGGTTCTGAAGATGATGATGGTGATGACGCTGCTGATGATGATGATAGTGATGGTGATGCTGGTGATGATTGGGGTGGTGATGGTGATGATGGTGATGGAGGACCGCATGGCTCGTTACCCTTCGCTGTCTGCGCGCGTCGGCGGTGTAATCTGGCAGCGCCGACCCCTCCCTGCGGCGCGCAGCCGGTAATGATGGAGAACCCTAACAGGATGGAGGAGGAGGAGGTGGAAGAGTAGTATGAGGAGGACGGCGACGACGACGGCGAGCAGGATCAGCAGGAGGACGTGCAGGAGGACGCGCAGGAGGAGTAGCAGCAGGAGGAGGAAGAGGAGGATGACGAGGAGGAGGAGGAGGAGGATGAGGAGGCCGAGGAAGAACACAGGGGAAACCAAGGGATAACATGATCAGGATGAGGAGGGGGAGGAGCGGGACGAGGAGGATGAGGTTGAGGATAAGGAGGAGGATAATGCGGAGGAGGAGGATGCGGAGGAGGGGGAGGAGGAGGATGACGAGGAGGATGACGAGGAGAAGAAGGAGGAGGAGGAGGTGGAGGAGGAGGAAAAGGAGGAGGGGGAGGAACACGGCCTCCTTCCTATCCAGCTACGGAAGAGAAGGATGACGAGGAGCAGGAGGAGGAGGCGGAGGAGGCCGAGGAAGAACACAGGGGAAGGCAAGGGAACACATGATCAGGATGAGGAGGGGGAGGAGCGGGATGAGGAGGAAGAGGGGGGGGAGGAGGAGGAGGAGGAGGAGGAGGAGGAGGAGGAGGAGGAGGAGGAGGAGGGGGAGGGGGAGGGGGAGGGGGAGGAAAAGGAGGAGGAGGACGATGAGGGGAAGGAGCAGGAACAGGACCAGGAGGAGGTGGAAAAACAGGAGGGGCAGGAGGAGCGCCTCGCCCTCCTCCTTCTCCTTCGCCTCCTTTTCCTCCTCCTCCTTCCCTTTTTCTTCCTCTCCGTCCCCCCCTCCTGTCCGTCCTCCTCCTCCCTGTCTCGTCTCTTCCTCCTCCCTCTCTCCTCCTCCTTCCCTCTCTTCCCCCCCCCTCTCTCCCGAAGGCACTGGCCCTCCAGCTGAGCGGCGGCGCTTCACCACCTCTTGTCGCGCCTGCCACTTTCCTTTGGTTTCGCGCGAGGTCCGCACTTTCCGTGTTCTGGGTTGGGACTCGACGGCTGCGGTTTCGGCAAGGTAGGTTTCCATTCCCGTTGGGCGCGTTCTCTGTTGACGCGCTTTACTTCCATGTCTACCTACTGGGGCGTGTCCACATCCGCGGTCACCGCCATGTTCAAGACAGCGGTCGGGGTCTTCACCAACGGCCTTGCATTGAACCCCTTCGGCGGCAATTTCCACTGCAACCCTGCTACCGCCACACTTACCGCTGCAGCCCCGCTACCTCCACAATTCTGACTGACCCCCCGCTACCACCACAGATTCCATTGTGCCCAGCTACCATAGCAGTTCCCACCGATGCCTGGCGACCGCCACAGTTGCTACCGCAGCTTCCCAAGGCCATGCAGTTCCCACTGTAGCCCCCGCTACCACCACGTCTCCCACTACACATTACAGCTCCCCACTGCCATGCAGCTCCGGTCTTGGACAGGATCGGGGTTTATTCGTATGTCCTGCGCGAGTAGCCTTCATCCGTCAGGGAAAAAAAGGCAGACCAAGCAATGGCAGAACTGACCGACAGAGCTTACAGAGCAGGTCAAAACCATAATCCGCCCACCAGCACGCAACATACCATAGCGCACCCGGTCGTCGCATCACCAACGCGCGCGCAGTGTTTCTTCGTGCGCGATGGGCAACTTTACAACCAACATGCCTCAACGAACCCAAAGCCCCCGCGCGCTGGCCCACGGATATTTCAGGGAAAGGCCCGCTTGCATTCAATATGTGTTTCCACTTGCCTTGTGGTAAAGTGCCTTTCCTGGTTGCAACGTGCCCTTCTCGGATTTTGTAAGCTGGTTGTAAAGTGACCCATCTGGTTGTAAAGTGCGCTTCTGGTTGTAAAGTGACCCGCGCGCGGCGGGGGGGGGGGCCTGGTTTCTGACCCCCTCCTTTTTTTCTGAGATTTGTTCAGGACGGGGTGGTGCCCCTTGTTTTAGGAAGGCCCCTATTGCGCGAAGGTGACGGCCTCATTGGCGCGACGTCTGCGGCGCGTGCAGGGGCGGGGCAGTCGGAACGGACCGTAGGACAGGTTGGCAAGTGGGGGGGCGCTTATCAAAACCATCTGTGTCGGGGAATCGCAGACATGGTCAAAGGCGCGAGGGTCGCCGGCGGGCCCCGCTTCCATACCGAATGGGCGCGCTCCGTCGCCAATTCAGGCGGCACTGGGCTCGTGTGGCGGGGGCAGATTTCCCCGATCCATGGGCGCGGCGCACGCGGATCCGCATTCCATGTCATCGTTCGCCCAGGAGGCGGAGGAGGATGAAGGAGGCAGCGGATCGAGGTTCGAGGACCTGGATGTTGGGCGCTTGAGGGCCTGGTGCCGTTCCAGGCTTTGGAGCAGCCGCAGCCCTCCATCCGTGCCGGTGTCAGGGGGCTCTCGCAACGCAGCCGTGGCTCGCGCGGGGGGCGCGAAGACGGGCGCGGCGGTGAGGCGAGAGCCACAACCCGCAGCATCGATCGTTAAGTCGGGCCTGTCCCTCTACGGGGGGAATATTCAGAAATAGTAAAAAAAACTGTGTGGGGACGATTTTCTGACTATTTTTACCCATCGGGGGGGTATTTATTTGTTTTTGTGTTGGAGAATATGTTTTATGTTTCGCCCCAAATCCCCCTGTCGGGGGACACGCCCGACTTAAGATTTCTTGGGGTTCCGCGCGGATCTCTTCTCGGATCGGCGCCGGGCCGCCCTGGCGGCGTTTCCTGCGCCGCCCGTGGTGCGCCGCACGCCAGGGAGGGTGGGTCCAGAGCCGAGCCAAGAAGTCAGCACGGACCTCTGATCGGGGGCGAGCGCGGGGCGGAAGTGAGAGGGGGCGGGCCCTTTCAGAAGGCTCGGGGGTCCCACGGCGTTTTGGGAAGTTGTCGAAGCCTTCCCTGAAGACACCGGCCATTTCTCAGAAGGCCCAGGGCTTCTGAGAAATCCCGCCGCCTTCTGAGAAGGCCTTTTCCGTTTCATTTCCCCTCTCGTTCGCCACCCATGTGGGAAGTGTGGTTGTGTTATTTCCTCTGCTCTGGAAACCTTTGGACTTGGAGGAGGAGCAGGGCGGCGAAAGAGGTGCCGATGCCGCTGCCCCTGCCTCGCTTGCGCCGCGTTGGCCCTCCAGGGGGATCCCTCGTCGCCACCGCTGGATTCACTTCGAAATCCTCGTCGGAAGGCACCCCGGGAGAGGTTCGGGAAGCAGCGCCATCGGTACCCTCTTGTTCTCCTATCTAAGAATCCTCTACTCTGCTGGAATACCGCAGGAAATCAGAGGATGTTGGGATCCTTACTGAGATGTTGATCCCTTCCTGGGGTCCTTGCTGGAATCCCTGGTGGAATCATTGCTGGGAGATGCGAGTCCACACCGTTGTGGAATTTTCTGCCCCCTCCATCCTTGAATATGTTGGAAGCCTGTGCAGGCGGATGAGCGCTACGCTCAGGCGGCGTCCATCTTTTAGGAACGGGCCGCCTTGCATTTGCACAGCTGTCGGGAGCTTCAATCCTCAGGATCAGACATGGTGAGGGTACAGGGAGTTCAAGCAAAAATAGGACGGCATGCCCGGGCTCAGTCTCGCGGGCCTACTCTAAAAGCATAAGTTCAACATTCATTGTTTTCAGGATTCCTTGTTTTTGTTCAGCCTCCCTGTATTGCAAGCCAAGCGCATGGCCCGCCGTAATTTCGCGTCTGGTGATGCAAAGCTAATGAGCTAGTGATCCAGTTGCGTCGCCGTGCGGCTTCGCCACCGCGCTCGGGCGGGCGCCTGGGGGAGTGCAGGGGGCCCCTCCCAACCCTCTGATTTGGGCACTCGCGTCAGCTTTGAAGGCAAAGGTCGCAGGGACGCAGGGATTCTGTCCACAACAACTGCCCAGTGTGGGCTTCATGCGTGGGGCAGCCCTGAAGTACTGGTTCGCAGGGAGTGAGATTACCAGAAGAGGCAGGAGCTCGAGTGACACCAACCGTTGCCACCGCGGTGGCGTACGAGAACGAGGGTGTGGATGAGGTCGGATGACGAGAACTAAGCACAGACACCGATCTTGGACAGGCCCATCCGTGGCACGTGATTGGTTCAGATGCTGATCATGCCCCCAGCGAAGCCAGGAGGGCATGTACACCGACCCGGGGCCGAGGATGGGCCTGGCCAAGATCGGTGCACGAGCATAGTTCCAAGCCTCCCACGTTTCGGAGGTCCCCGTGGGGTTCCCGGGTTGGTGCTGAGCCCCCCCCTGGCGCTCGAAGCGTGCCAGGGGCGTTGCATCTTTGTGGGAGGAGGAGGGGGACGAGGAGGGGGGAAGGAGGAGGAGGAGGAGGAGGAGGAGGGCCGCTGAGCCGGCCGAGCGCCCCGTCCGTCTCAGCGCTGCCAGAATGTGGGAGGGTCGGATGTTCCTGTTCATGATCCCGTCGGGCCGTCGGGTGGTGCGTACGACGGCGACGACGACGACGAGGGACGAGGGTCGAGGAAGCGCAATCATGTATTCAGACGCGTGGATCAGTGTTGGGTCCCGTTTCCATGCAGTATAGGCGCGCTCCGTCGCCAAGTCAGGCGGCATTGGCTTCATCGTTCGTGGTTGGACCTGGTTCCAACGCACCAGATCCACATCATATGTCTAATCGATGGTAGTGTGTGCCCGAGAGGGGGGCCGGTCGGGGACCACGCCTGCCAGGCGCCGGCGAATTCTCCGTGTGCCGCGGACGCGTCCTCGTGCGTGGCCGACAGCTGCGGGGGGCAGTCGGCGTGGTGCGAGGCCGGCCCCGCGGGAGGCAGGGGGGGAGGAGCGCGGGGGAGGGGGAGGGAAAGCGAGGGAGGGAGGGAGGGGTCTCCCCATCCATTTCACCTCCGTCGCTCTTCCCTTCCCGTCCCTCCCTTGGAGGGGAAGGAGGGGAGAGCGGTGGAGTGGCAAAAGTGAGGCAGGATGGAGGAGAGCGGACGGAGAAGAAAGCAGGACGAGTGGGAGGAGGGCCAGTGGTGGCGGGCGGAGCTTGAGGGGGAGAGGAGGAGGGGGAGGAGGAGGACCATGAGTTTCCGATGTGTGCGAAGTAGCATGCCAGTGCTAATTGAGGAAGGTTTTTTGTCACGAGTATCAACCAATTGGTGCTGTCAGCTTTCATTAGCAAATCGTCAGTTTGGGTTCAAACGGGTGAATACTAATTCGCACGTGTATGCGCTAGTCGTAGTTTATTGAATTTACAGCACCAGTGCGAATCTGCGCGTGCGATTTCGCACGGACGGCGTGTCATGTGATATGCAGCATGGTGTTTGTCAAATCGCAACCTCGTCTCCCTCATTATTCGAATCACGAACGCGAGGTTGGTCTTTCGGATATGAGAGAAAGGGAGAGAGAGAGAGAGAGAGAGAGAGAAAGAGAGAGAAAGAGAGAGAAATAAAGAAATAGAAACAAGGGAGAACGTGAGAGGGATAAACTGAGAGAGGAACCTCTATATATATAAAACAAAAAAGAAACAACGAACTAAAGAGAAAGAGAGAGGGAGAGAGAGAGAGAGAGAAGCAAACACGCAGCCGTCTTCACAAGCGATCCTTTTTCCTGTCGTGCAGCAGCGCTACAACACGCGAGCCAAGGGCTCCATGCAGAACCTGTCCAAGACATTGTCAGAGAACGCCTTTGTAGTCATCGGGGCGCCGCGCCTCTTTGATATCCCGCCGCAGGTCCCTCCAAAATCGTCGCTGCGGTAGGTAAAATCAACTGTTGGGTATGTTTCCTCGGCGAGGTGCACGAAAGGACGTAGTTTTGGATTGCACCTGAAGAATACAGGGCGCCGCTGTGCGAGTGCGCTGCAGACGAACACGAAGCGCATGCCGTGCGTCGTCATGGCGTACTCCTGAAAATAACAATGTGCCGCGAAGCCTCGTAACAGTCGTGGGGATGGCTCGTCGCTCCCAGGATGGTTTGGTCCATATCGCTGCCGTCGCCCAATAGATTGTTGGATTCCTGTCACACCCAGCCCTCCATATACCTGCACGCGCCAGCCACGGCCTTCAGTTTCGGTGCGCTCCCTTTTTAAAAATCATGAGGAGCGTCAGCTGGTGGAGACCGTCGTCCGCCTTAGTCTTGTCGTTGTTGGCTTGGGTTGGCGACCGCGTTTTGCTTAGGCGTTTTGCCAGATCCCTGGCGCCATAGCGTTGGCCGTCGTTCAACAAAAACCGCATCACTGATCCGAACACATCCAAAGCATTGCTTTGGTCAACGCAGGAAGAGTCATTCACGAATGGCGCTGGCAACAAGGGCGTTGGCACGCATCCGTAGCGCATGTGCCGGGTAATTCATTCAGATCTGGGCGGCAGCGCCCCCCGCCAGGGAGCGCCCTCGCGCGCGGCGCCAACTATGCGGGGAAACGAATGCACGCGATCAGTTGTCCCTCTTACTTGTTGTCGTGGCGGGCGCTTGCCCCGCCCGCCCCCTCTCGCCGCCGCCCCCTGCGGTCGCCCCCGGGCGGCATTCAGGGCGCGGCGGGCGGCGGGGAGGGGAGGGCGCGCGCCCGCGCCACTCGCCACGCGATGATATTCGGCGCCTGGTCGGGCGCGCGCGCGCCGCCGGCAGCGGCCGCCCGCCCCGTTCCGCGCAGGGGGCCCGCAAGCGCGTTTGCGGCTCGCCCCGCCCCCCTTTCTGCGCCGACAAGAACGCCCTGGAGCCCCGGCCGAATATTGGAGCGACGCTCGCGACGCGAACCTGTCCGCTGCAAGGCGGCGCCATCGGGCCGCCGCGACGGCGGCGCCCCGCGTGCCGGCGCTGAAAGGGGCCGCCTTGCCGTCTCCACGCAGTCGCTGCGCGCGCTGGGACTCGCGCAAGATCGCAGGGGCGCCGCCGCGGGAATCCGCGATCTTGAAGAGTCACCAGTCAGTCCTGGCAGGTTTACCTAGGCGGCTTCGATTGTCAACCGCTCCTGTCGAAATTGTCGGGCACGCCGTCTGTCCAACTACTGACCGATAGAGGCCTCGGCGCGCCTGCCGCCGCCCAGCATTGCGGCGAGTGGGTTTGCACCTCGGCGCCCAAACCTTCAGCGTCGAGGAATGCCGAACCGTGTAGATACGAACGGATGACTGCCAACACTTCTCGCGGCAGCGCAGAAAACGCAGACCCGAGTCGACTTCTCTGCTCGGTCTCGGGGCCCGCGTTTTCGCCCTTGTTGCTTGCGTTGCTGGCCATTTACAAGCCTTCCACACATCCCCTTTAGATCTGGCGACGTTCGCGCCCCCCCCCCCCGCCCTGCGCCGCCGCGGCGCGGACGTCGCCGAACCGATGAGGGAGCAGTTGGCTCGGCGGGGCCAGGCAATGTCGCCCGAGTACTCGCGCTGTTTCTCAAGGAATGAGTCCCCGATGGCGCCGCGCGGGCGCTTCGACGGGGAAGCGCCGCCCAGCCTCGCCCGCGATCGCCCCCCCCGCCCCCCCCCCCCCCCCCCCCCCCCCCAGCGCGGCCCCTTCTCGCCGGCCGCGCTGCAGCGACAGGACAGCGCGAGCGCGGCCGCCGCGGAAAATTCCAACCCGCGCGCAACAAGATAACTACTTGGACTGGGCGCCCTTCTGGTCCATGCCCCCTCCTCCTCCTCCTCCCCCTCCCCCCCCCCTTCCTCCCCCCCCCCCCGCCCCTCCGCAGTTGCTCGCGATGAGTTCATTCTCCATCTCCTCCTCCTTGCCCTTGCCCCCCCCCAGGGCCCTCCTCCACCTCTGAAAGGCGCGAGTGGTTCGGCAGAGCGCCTCTCTTCCTGCCGACGCAGCCCCCTGCGCAGGGCGTTCTTCTCGCTGCGCGGGGGCCTCCTGCCGAGCGTTTTTTTTGTTTTTGCCGGGGGCGGGTGGGCGCGTGCGCGTGGGGCGGGGTTGGGGGGGGGGGGGGGGGGGGCAGCGGCCCGGTCGCAGCAGTTCTCCGCGGCGCGGCGCGGCGGGCGGGTTATGGAAGATTTGGGAAATCCTAATTGAAACGCTGCGCCGCTCGCTCGCTTCAAAATACGTTCAAGAAAGCAGCAGACCGATGGTCAAACAAAGAACATCGTTGCACCAACGATGTAAACACCCACGTGAATACTCTTCGCCGCGGCCCCGAAACTTTTCGAAATGGCGCCCCCGCCGCTGTTTGCCCCCTCTGCAGCCAGTCAGGCGCTGCTCGGCGTTTTTCTTCGCGGTCTTCAGCGGCTTGGCGATCTGGGGCGCGCGGTCGCCGTTGTCGGAAGCACCCGAGCTCGAATCCTCTGCGACCAACGTCCTGGCGTCATCCGGAAATTTCGCCAGAAGCTGCTGCGCCATGCTGATCGGGGGCCCCCAGGCGATGCGGTGACCACGCCGCGCGGTGAGTCGGCGGGGATTCGGGGTCACCGCACGGTTTTTGGACTCGAGCCCCTCTCCGAGAATGTCTCGGGCGGTAGGGGCCTCCAGGGTCCCAAAACCGTGCGGTGACGGACCGCGCGGCGAGGTCTTGCAGGATTTCGAGGTCACCGCGCGGTCCGTCACCGCGCCGCTTCGGGACCCCAGAGCTAATCTCGACCTCGCGCTGCTCGCAATGGCTGCCCTTCTTGCGCAGCGCCGAGGCTTTCGCCCTCATCTGGAGGAGTGAGCCCTGCGACTTATGCAGCGCGCTCAACGTGGCCCTGCAAGCGATAGAAGCGGAAGGGCGGCGGCCGCCCCCCCCCCCCCCCCCCCCCGCACCTGCTCCCCCCGCAGCCGTCGTTTTCCAGCGCCGCGGACGATCGCGCTGCGCGCTGATGGCGATGCCCCGAGGGCGTCGCCGAGCTTCTTGATGCCAGAGCTTGATTGTAGTATGTCGTTCCTCTCGTCGTTGCCAGAGGCATAACCTTCGCCGCGTTCCGGCGGCGGTGCGTCGGCAATGGCGGCTCTGTATACTCCAGGACTGCATGGGTTATCGCCATCTCAGGGTCCAAGCCCAGAGCGGTGCGATGTGCGCCGACGAATTCAGCGGCTGCCGCCGAAGCGCGAGGAGGCGCGCGGCCAACCCCGCCGCCCACGTAGCCCTTGATGCCGCTGGTGTCGCGGCGCATTGGCCCGTTCCGCAGGGATATCCGCATTGGCTGAGGCGCCCAGTGCTTGCCCTGCCCCGAACGCCCCCAAGCGCCGCTGCTATTGGCGAAGAGCCCAGGCACCTCATCGAACTCCTCTTCCTCCTCTTCTCCCGCGTCAAAATCGAAGGCCGTCGCCCCCTGGCGGCGGCGGGGGCCCGCCCCCTGGAGCGGCAGCCGCGATCGTGGCCCGCGTTTTTTATCACGGAGTCACGCTGCTGCTTATATTTCCCCCTCTGCGCTGCGGCCGCCGCTGCCGCTGCCGCTGCAACACTTGCAAATGCCACTCCTGCACCGCCCCCCCGCGGAAGACGGCGGGGGAGCCGGCGCAGCCGTCGCCGAGGGCAGGGCGGACGGCGCCATCTGCGCCGCGGAAGCAGTTGGAGGAGAGAAGTTCGACGCGCAACCTTACCCTTTGGTGAATGCCGCGCAGGTGTCGCTGGGCCATGCCGTGCACGACGTCTCCACGTGCGCCATGTCGTTGCTGGCTGGCCTCTTGGGCGCAGTCTTCAGTGCTTTCGCCTTGCTCGCGGCCTTGGCCTTGGCCCTGCCCCTCGCCTTGGCGCTCGCCTTGCCTTCGGCGGCCGTAGCTCTGTCCCTGGCAGCCCGCTCGGCCAGCGCGCCGCCCTTCCCATCGAGCAGCTCATTCGGCATCTATGTCTGCAGGAAGTAGCCGTCTCCGTGGCCCGCCTCGCAGAAGCCCTTCTCGCCGCGCACCAGAGG